AAGGAAGTTTTGTGTGCTGTACTGAAGGAAGGCAGTGAAAATGTTTAGAGATAGGGAGCATGAGAACTATTTTAGATGAAAGTAAGGGAGAGGAGGGGAATGACTGAGCAACGTAGAATACTGAAGTGTTTAAATGAATAAAAAAAGAAATTAACAAATCAAACCAAATCAAATTATTTCTGTTTCTTTGACATATATAAAAGGAAAAAGTTTACCCGGTGAATTTGATCAGATAGACATGTTTTCAAGGCAAAGACAGTCAAATTATGTAACCCAGAGCTTCCTCAAATTCTAGATGCAAACCTTTTAGAGGGATAACAAAAAAGAAATGATTTTGTAAAAACGAAGATCGACAGACTCAGAAACAGAACTCTGAATGAATTTTTCTGGCCAGAGGGCAGGAGTGCTGAAGTAAATCCTTCTCCAGAGCTTTATAGGGTATTTGGTCACAATCATTTATTTATGGAGATTTTTACTTTTTACTGACCTTCCAAATTAATTTTTTTTCAAACTCTAGTTGTAAAGAAACAAGAATTTGGCATAAGCTTAACTCACACCTCTTCCCCCTCTCCTGCCCACCCCACTGCCCAGGTGTCCCCTTTCTTGAGTGTCCTGGGAAGGAGAGGGGATAGCTCTCGTCTCTCCTATGTTGCCCTCTCAGGTGTTGCTTCTCCAGATCCTGGGGCCCTTTCACCTCTCCCTTCACTGCTGTGACAATCACACACCGCTCTATTGACCACTACCTCCTGGAACCTGAGATCTACAGTCCCTCTTGATACAATATGACTACCTTGGGCTCAAAGGGTGAATGTGGAACCAGCCACACTTCCTTTTCTGCCTAATTTCTCATACCACATAACCACCACGCTGTGTGGATGAAGCAGACTTACCAGAGGGTAGAGCTAATTAAATGGACTTACAATGTGGGAGCAAATAAAACGTAAAATTACATGTCAAAATTACACTAGAATAAAAGCCACGGAGGACTTGGGAACAGCGGTGGGTGGAACAGTCGGCTTGAGCAGGAGAATCTAGGGTGGGCTTTGCAATTCTAAATTGGGCTCCTGGGACCTCCAAGCCAGTGTGGGATTTGAATATGCCTCCTCTTCTTACCAACACACATCACCGGAAGACAAACAGTGGTTCAGAGAGAGCAAAGTCCAGATTCATATAAAGGAAGAGAAACATTTCTCTAAATGGAATGAAGACTGCACAACTCTCTGCCCACGAATGGGGATACGTTTTAATTTTCCTTCTACTGCCAAACAATGGCCAAAGGTAGAGCGAGAAAGGGAGTTCAGGAGGCCCTGAGGTTCCTGCCCCCTCGGGCTACACAGAAGATATGGCCGAAGTTCTGGAATGACCGCTGTCCTGTACCTGGGGTAGGATGCCTCCAGGATTCTATCCAAGCGAGAGGGAGGTGGAGGGATTTATCATTTTCTTGTCTAAGCAACTGACTTTTCCAGTTGCATTAAGGAAACCAAGGTCCAAGTGCCTTCTGTAGATGCCCTTTCCAGGACTAATTTCCACTGCTTTATGTGCACATGCTTTCCATTAGTTAATAAAAATGATTGAAGCAGAACTAGCACAAGACTTGTCTCTCTAAATCTGTGGTTCTCAAATGGCGGGAGTTTTGCCCTCCAGGAAACATTTGGCAATGTCTGGAGACATTTTTGGTTGTCACAACGGCAGGGGGATTGGGGGCAGATGCTACTGGCATCTAGTGGGTAGATGCCAGAGATATTGCTAAATACCCTACAATGGACAACTCCCCACAAGTAAGAATTATCCAGCTCCAAATACCAGTAGTGCCGCTATTGAGAAACCCTGGTCTAAAAACTTAGAAAAAATGAGATTTCACTTCCTCTGTGACCAGTACTCACCAGTACTCATGTCATTCTTGAATTTTACTTTTAAAATTCATCAGCTGATCATCCTACAAATCATCCCCAAGAAACAGATTGAGAGTAATGATGGCATTTACTGAATTCTTACTATGTGCCAGGTCCTGGGATAAGGACTTCACATACTCTCACTATTTCCCCCATTTTCAGAAGAGAAAACTGAGGCTCAGGACAATTAAGTAAATTGCAGAGGTACATAAAACTTAAAGTCGCAGAAGTGGGAATCAACCTAGAATTCCAAAGTTTCTGCTCTTGAACTTAATGCCTTTCTAAGGATTCGAACAGTATCTATTCAATTCGGTGAGCAATTGCTTTATACCCAGAATTCTATTTTTCATCATGAGAATTTTTCACGTCCTGACAAAAAGTGTTCGTTAAATAAATATTACTTTGTAATTATGGACATCCATCACTTGGAGCAAACTTGATGGATTTAAAAACACATGTACTTTTAAAATTCCCTCCTTTCCAAAAAGTGGAAAAGCTATGTATTTTATATATTTTAGTCTCAAATTTAAGAAATCTCTTCATTTTGGAAAATTCCAGACTAGTGCATATAATGCTTTAAATGGCAGAACCAGGTAAAATTGCAAGGAATCTTGCTCTATCTTGAGGTGCCCATATTATAAAAGAAAGAAAGAAAGAAAAAAGCAACATTTTGTAACATTTACAATAGCATATTGAATTTTTTTATTCATGTGCCTGTCTCCTCCATTATCCTATGTATTATTTTTCTATTGCTGCATAACAAATTAAAACAAACTTAGCAACTTAAGACAACACTCGTTTATTAGCTCACAGTCTGTAAGTCAGAAGTTCCAGCACAGCCACGGCATAACTGAGTTTTGGCGCAGGGTCTCCCAAGGCTGAAGTGATGGTATCAGTCAGGCTGAGTTCTAGTCTAGAGGCTCTGGGGAAAATCCACTTTCAAGCTCATTCAGGTCGGAGGCAGTTCCTTGCAGTTGTAAGGACTGAAATCTCATTTCCTGTCTGGTTGTTGGCCAGGGGTTGCTCTCAGCTTCTAGACTTCACTCTCTGGTCTTGCCAGGTGGCCCCCTCCATCTCCAAAGCCATCAGTGGAGAATCTCCCAGATGATAAGTCTACCTCATGCTTTGATTCTCTCTCCAGGAAGAGCCCAATCCTTTTTAAGGGCTCACCTGATTAGATCAGGCCCACCAAGGGGCCCACCACAACCTCTCTATTTGAAGGGCAGTTGATTTGAAACCTTAATTATACCTGCAAAATCCCTCACAGCAGTGCCTAGATTAGTTTGGTTGAATAATTGGGAGAAGGCCTGTGTATACCAGGCAGGCAGGGGTCTTGGGGGGTCATCTTAGAATTCTGCCTAGTTTACAGTCTGTAAATTCTTTGATGGCAAAAACTGGGCCTTGTGCATCTTTGTCTGGTACCCAATAGATGCTCCATAAATGTTCACTGAATTGAATTGTTTTAAAGGAACTGGGAACTTATTAAGTCAGGAAATTGTTACACGGGAGCATCAACTTCCAGGTAAGGACAACTCACATGGGGGAAAAGATCAGACAAGATGCAATGCCCAGGATGCCTTTGGGCTGATCAGTATCCTGACCTCTTCCTCGACCAAAAGATTAAGTGGAGTTTCTACCTTCACTACGGGAATGCAGCTTTGATTTTTTTAAGGAAAGTCAAGGGAAAAAGAATTCCTTTCCCAGAAATGTGCAAGAGAAACAACTTTCCAGACTCACATCTATTCTACCGAGTAAAGGGCGTGTTCAAAGGGTTTATGGTGTCATGAGCTTCCCTTGGCTAGTCGGCCAGCTCTTTGAGGGTGGAACCACATATTATTCATATTTATTTCCCCAGGGCTAGCACAGTGCCGAGTTCAGAAGACAACTTTAAAGATAAACGCTGACTGTTTGTAGAATGAATGCTATTTAACGTGTCTCTGCTAGTACTCATTCAATTCCCGCGGGCGAGTGCTCTGTCCAGTGCATTTTCTGCAATCCAGCAATGCCTGTCCGTTCCTGGCAGCCAGCGAGAATGCAACAGGTGCAATCGTTGGGCCGTGTACTCTCGCTTTAAAATTTACTCTCTCCTCTTCCAAACTAGCAGTTAATCATTTTAGGTTATGCAACATGAATTGAAGCTGACTAGTATTCAGGCTAGTCATAAGGCTGTTTTCTAAGAAATATTCAGCTTTATGTTAACGAAAAAAACCCCAAAACTTTCGTCTTCCTTTCCAAATGGACATTCATATCAGTGTCTAGTAAATGTATTTAGGGGAAACATTTCTTTACACCAATCAGAGGACAGAAAAGAAAAGCTTCTGAAAAGGAAAAGCTCCGTTTTCCTTCGACTTTCTCAGCTCCTCCATTGCAGCCTCAGACAAGGCACAAATTATCTGCAATTCTGTGGGCGTCCCCTGCATTTAAACCGACTTCCATCTCCAGGTAAACGCAAACAGGGACTTCGAGTTGCCCCTGATTCCCTGCAACCCGGGACGCCGCGGATTTCGGCCCCGCGCTGTGACGTCACCGGGCTCGCTGGCCGCGGCGCGGGTCTCAGGCTCCGGTGATTGGCCGGGGCCCATGACGTCACGGGCCGGGGCGGCCGTGGGCTCGCGAGGACACAGGGATGCTCCGGGTTCGTTTGTAAAAAAGGTGTGGGGGGACCGGAGGAGCCCGCGCAGCGCCG